TCAGAATGTTTTTAATCTTAGCTATTCTGATAGGTATAAGATGGTATTTCAGAGTCATTTTGAATTTTATTTCCCTGATGACAAAGGTAGTTGAGCAATTCCTTAAATATCTTTTATCCATTTGAGTCTTCAGTTGAGAATTCTCTGTTTGGATCTGTAACAATAGTGGGAAATTACCAATACGGAGTCAGGTAGAAATACAAGGGTATTTAATAGGGAAAAGCCTTACTTACAGAGCGACCTAGCCAGATGGCGTGGCAGTAGCAAGAAGCAAAGAGAAACCGAAAGCGCAAACGCCGTCACACTACGTCACTCTGACCATGCCCACACAAGCCCTAAGAAGGCGTGGCTACAGCTTCCCCTACAGTAACCCATTTTGTAATTGGATTATTTGATATTTTAACATCTAGTTTCTTGAATTCTTTATATATTTTGGAGGTCAGCCCCCTGTCAGGTGTGAGGTTGGTGAATAACTTTTTCAATTCTGTGGACTGTCTTTTTGTCTTATTGACTGTGTCCTTTGCCTTTCAGAAGCTTCTCAGTTTCAGGAGGCTCCATTTATTGATTGTTGCTCTCAGAGTCTGTGCCACTGGTGTTATATTTAGGAAGTGGTATTGCATTCAAGGCTACTTTGCACTTTCTCTTCTATCAGCTTCAGTGTAACTGGATATATGCTGAGGTCTTTGAACTTGAACTTGAATTTTGTCCACGGCAATAGGTATGGATCTATTAGAGTTGTTCTTCATGTCAGCATCCAGTTATGCCGGCACCATTTGTGAAATATGACCTAATGATTCTCTGGATTTCCTCAGTGTTTGTTGTTACTTCCCCCTTTTCAGTTCTGATTTTGTTAATTTGGATATTCACTCTCTGGCTTTTGTGTAATTTGGATAAGGGTTTTTTATCTTGTTTTCTGAAAAACCCAACTCTTTTTTTTCATTCATTCTTTTATTGCTTTCTTTTATTATTTATATTTTTATAGTTTTCTTTATTTGTATTTTATTAATTTCAGCCCTCAATTTGATTATTTCCTGTTTTCTATTACATTTTTTTTTTGTTCTAGAGCTTTCAGGTGTGCTGTCAAGTCACTAGTGTGAGTTCTCCAAATTCTTTTTTTGTTTGTTTGTTTTTCGAGACAGGGTTTCTCTGTGTAGCTTTGGAGGTTGTCCTAGAACTCACTCTGTAGACCAGGCTGGCCTCAAACTCACAGATCTGCCTGCTTCTGCCTCCCGAGTGTTGGGATTAAAGGCCACCAATACCCAGCTTCCAAATTCTTTATGTAGGTACTTTGTGTTATGAACTTTTCTCTTAGCCCTCTTTTCATAGGACCCCCAAAATTTGGGTGTCTTGTGCACACATTTCTTTGAAATCTAAGAAGTCTATAATTTCTTTCTTTATTTCCCCCTTGACCCAGTTTTAATTCAGATGAGAATTGTTCAGTTTTTATGCATTTGTAGGATTTCTGTAGTTTGTATTGTTGTTGAATTCTAACTTTAAACCATGGTAATCCAATAAAATGCAGGGGGGCATTCCAATTTTTTGTATTTGTTCAGGTTTTCTTTGTGACTGAATATGTGGTCAGTTTTAGAGAAGGTTTCATGAGGTGCTGAGAAGAAGATATATTCTTTTGTGTTTGGGTGGAATGTTCCTTTGGTGTCTATTAAGTCCATTTGAGTCATAAAATCTGTTAGTTTCCTTATTTTCTGTTAAGTTTCTATCTGGCAGATCTGTACACTGGTGAGAGTGGGGTGTTGAAATCTCCCTCTATTAGTGTGTGGGGTCTGATGTGTGATTTAAGCTTTAGTAATGTTTCTTTTAAAACATGTGGTTGCCCTGTATTTGTGTGTAAATGTTCAGAATTGAGACTTCATCTTGGTGGATTTTTCCTGTGATGAATATGAAATGTCCTTTTCAATCTCTTTTGGTTAATTTTAGTTTGAAGTATATTTTGTTATATATTAGGAGAGCTACATCTGCTTGTTTCTTAGGTCCATTTGATTGGAAAGTCTTTTCCCAACACTTTACTTTGAGGCAATGTCTGTATTTGAGGTTGAAGTGTGTTTATTGTATGCAGCAGAAGGATGGATCTTGGATTCTTATCCATTCTGATATTGTGTGCCTTTTTATAGGCTAATTGAGAACATCTATTAAGAGATATTAATGACCAGTGATTGGTAATTCCTGTTACATATGGTTTTGTTGTTGATGGTTGTAGTGTTTGTGTATTTCTGTTCTTTGGGGATTGCTGGTGTGAGGTTATCTATTGCCTGTTTTTGTGGGTGCAGATAACTTCCTTCCGGCCTACTTCCTGGGTTGGAATATTCCTTCTAATACTTTCTGTAGGGCTAGATTTGTGGATAAGTATTGTTTAAATCTGGTTTTGTCAATGGAATATCTTGTTTTCTCCATCTGTGGAGATTCAAACATTTGCTGCACATAGTAGTCTGGACTGGCATCTCTGGTCTCCTAGTGTCTGTAGTCAAGACCTTCTGACTTTCAGAGTTTCCATTGAGAAGTGAGGTGTAACTCCAATAGATCTGACTTTACATGTTACTTGGCCTCTTTTCTTTGCATCTGTTAGTATTATTTCTTGATTCTACATATTTAGTGTTTTTATTAATATATGGTGAGGAGACTTTTTTTGGTCCTGTATATTTAGTGTTCTGTAACTTTCTTTTGTGTTCATAGGCATATCCTTCTTTAGCTGGGGAAAGATTGCTTTTTTGATTTTTGAATATATTTTATGTGCATTTGAGTTGGACTTCTCCTTCTCTTCTCCCTATGAGTCTTAGGCTTGGTATTTTCATGGTACCCTAGATTTCCTGCATGTTTTGTGTTAAGCTTTGTTGGATTTAACATTTTCTTTGACCAATGAATCTATTTTCTTTATTGTATCTTCAACTCCTGAGGTTCTCTTTTCCATCTCTTGCATTCTGTCAGCTATGCTTGCATCTGTAGTTCCTGATCATTTACAAAGCTTTTATATTTCCATAATTCCCTTGGTGTGTGTTCTTTATTGCCTCTATTTCAATTTTCAAGTCTTGGACTTGTTAATTTTTTTCTTGTCCTTCTTTGCTTTCTCTAAGGGATTTATTGATTTCTTCCATATTTTGTTTGTCTTTTTCTCCATTTCTTTAAGGGAATTTTTTATTTCTTTTTTAGTGGCCACTATCATCTTCATAAATTTATTTTAAGGTTTCTTTCCTTCTGCTTCCTCTCTGATGAGGTTTTCAGGTCTTGTTGATGTTGAGTCACTGGTTTCTGGTGGTGCCATATTGCTCTTTGGGTTGTTGAATGTACTCTTACACTGTTGTCTAACCATGTCTTCCTACAATCAGCACAGGTGGGGCCTGTGGCTCTGGTGGTCACTGTACCTCCAGGTGTGGGAAGAGGTCTGGTGCATACTGGTGAAGTGGTAGGGAATGGTTGATGGGAGAGGGTGCTGCTGCCAGGTTGCTGGGGATGCTGTGGGTGGGGCAGGGGTGTGGGATAGAATATAAATAGAAGGGCTTTCCTGCCAGGATCTCAGACACTCACCTGTCCTTTATAAGTCCAAGGGACAGGTAAGTGTATGATAAAAGCTTCAAGTCTTTGAGAATGAACTATAGAAGATATAACAAAATGGAAAGATCTACCATGCTCATGGATTGATAGAATTATCATAGTAAAATTAATTAAAATAATAATCATTATGATAGTAAAAATGGGCATCCCACCAAAAGCAACCCCTATCCAAGTTACAGCACAGATCTTTACAGACCTTGAAAGGACAATACTCAGTTTCATATCGAAAAGCATAAAAACCCAGGATAGCTAGAACAGTGCTATACAGTAAAAGAAGTTCTGGAGGCATCACCATCACTGATTTCAACCTGCACTTAGTGCTATAGTAACAAAAATCACATGGTATTGGCATAAAAAGAGATATGTCGATCAACAGACTACAACTGAAGACACAAGCATAAATCCACATATATGTATACACCTGATTTTTGATAACGATGCAAGAAATATATAACAGAAAAAGAAATCATCTTCAACACGTGGTCTACATGGATGTCAGTATGTAGAAGAATACAAATAGATGCATATTTATCACCCAGCACAAAACTCAAATCCAAGTGGATCATAGATCTTAACATCTGACAGATGAGAAAATATGGGATAGCCTTGAGTTTATTGTCACAGGAGACAACTTCCTGAATAGAACACCAATAGTATGGACACTAAGATCAACCATTAATAAATGAGAGCTCATGAAACTGAAAAGCTTCTTCTGCAAGGCAAAGGACACTGTCAACAGGGCAAAACAGCAGCCTACAGAATGGGAAAAGCTTTTCACAAACTTCACACCTGATAGTGGACCAATGTCTAAAATATGCAAGGAACACTATACTCTAGACATCAAAAACCAAAAATGTCCCATTAAAAATGGAGTTCAGATCTAAACAGAATTCTCAATCAAGGAATCCCAAATGGTGGAGAAACAAAGAAATGTTCAACACCATTAACTATCAAGGAAATTCAAATCAAATTACTATGAGATTCTATATTATATTTCTGAAAGGCTAAGATGAATAACACAATTGGCAGCTCATGCTGGTGAGGATGTGGAGTAAGAGGAACACTCCTCTTTCAAAGGAGGGAGTGCAGATTTATACAGCCACAGGGGACTTTGGTAGTAGATCAGCATTTATCCCTAGTGTACAAATGGACTTTGGGAGCCCATTTCACATGGAGGGATGCTCTCTCAGCCTGGACACATGGGAGAGGGCCTAGGCTCTAACTCTGGAGATTCCCCATGGAGGGCTCATCATCCCTGGTGAGTGGAGGGGTTTTGGAGTGGGGGTTTGTGGGGATTGGTGAGGGGCAGGGGAGGATGGAAGGGAGAGGGAGCTGGGATTGACATGTGAAGCAAGATTGTTTCTAATATAAATATAAATAAATAAAAATATATTCACTAAATAAATTTTAAAAATTAAAAAATCCCAATGTTGCCATTATAAAGAGATTTTCTTCTTGCAAAAGACTCTTATCAGGGCCTCTTTTATATCTCTGTTCCTCAGGCTGTAAATGAAGGGATTCAGCATGGGAGTCACCACTGTGTACATCTTAGCCATGGCAGTCTCCTTCACAGTTGAATTATTAGCTGAAGGAAATATGTAGAGACCAATAATTGTTCCATAGAACAGTGAGACCACAGACAGGTGGGAGCCACATGTAGAGAAGACCTTGTGGAGAACCCGAGTGGATGAAACATTTAGTATGGAGCAGACAATTTGTACATAGGACACAACGATGAGTAAGAATGGGAGAACAGTAACAAGCCCTCCAATGATAAATATCATCAGTTCATTAATATGAATGTCAGAACATGCCAACTTGAGCAGGGCAGATATGTCACAGAAAAACTGGGGGATCACACTGTTCTCACAGAATGACAATCTAGCCAAGAGTAGAGTGTGCAACATGGAATACAGCATGGTCAGTACCCAGCATAGCCCCATCAGACACATACAGAGTTTGGGGCTCATGATGGTGGTGTAATGCAGGGGGAAACAGATGGCCACATAGCGGTCATAGGCCATGACTACAAGAAGGAAACTCTCCATAGCTGCAAAAACTATTAAAAAGTACATTTGTGTCAGACAACCTGCATAGGGGATGGATGAATCTTGGTGCTGCATGCTCTGTAGCAACTTGGGCATTGTGACAGAGGAGAAGCAGAGGTCAGAGAAGGACAAGTTGCCAAGAAAGAAGTACATGGGTGTGTGGAGATGGGAGTCCAGTAAAATGAGAATGATGATGATGAGGTTCCCCAGGACAGTGGTGAGGTACATGGCCAGGAACAGGGCATAGAACAGGTGCTGGTGCTCTGGGGGGATGGGCAGGCCCAGGAGGAGGAACTGAGAGATGACAGTTTGGTTGTTCATTATCATTTCTTCATCTCCAGTATCGTAATGAGAAAATATCAGGGTCTCTAAAAATTCAATTAAAAATGAACACATATCTAGGATAAGTATTCTACAATAGATCTGGCAGTCAGCATCATAATTATAACTTCAAATTCCAAATATCTGTAATAATTCTATTCATTAGTGATTTTTCTCAACTTCTCTTTAATTTGTTTTTGTCTTTCATTCTTTCCTAGACATTTCTATGCATTTCTACTGAGATACCAAGGGGACTAATGCTTCTCTCTCCTTCTATCTGCACATCCTGGGTAACTGTTGTATGTTCATTTGTGCTTTGCTCTATGTTATTTTGTATATTGATCTTCTTGAAGAAATTGGATGAGAGCATCATAATTTTTTAAAAAAGAGAAACAGAGCTCACACCTTTAATCTCAGAACTAGAGAGGTATATAAGGATGAAGCAAAGGTTCTCATGTGAGATTTTGTTTCCAGTCACAGGGAAGACAGAATCTCCAATTCAGCCTTGGTAGAAATAAGAGCTACTGGCTTCTTTGAGCTTTAGCATCATAATTTTATATAAATTTCAAGAAAAGCTTACATGCTCTAATACCTTAGATTACCATTTCAAACTCAGGCATGAATATCTCTGTAACATACAGTCTTCTGCTCCACTGTTAACTAATCATTTTCCCTCCAGTGTACATATGACAGGCATCAGGAGGTCAACCCCCAAGTGAAATTCATGTCTTCACCTTGTTGTCTTCCAAAGAATTCCTCATTCTCTTAATTCTCCAGTATCCCACAGTACAGTAAAAAATTCAAGTTTGAGTCAGAAATCTGTGAATTTTGATTTATTCATTTTTCCTTACCTTCAACTGCTGTCTTACATTATGCAGGGTCTCCCTTCATTCTCCTCTTATTTCTTTCATCACTTTGTAAGATTATATCCATGCATCAGGATTTTTACTGGAATACAGAAGAAGATTCAGTTCTAATGTCTCCTGACACTCCTTCCATCTGCTTCATTTACACGGTGGCATTCTAACAGTCATTTAATCTGCAGACTTTGAGTAAAGTAACACACATTTCATAAGATGATGATCTTCATGCAATTAGAGGAAGAAATTAAGGGAAAAGGACAGTCCACTGCAGAAAAGTTTTCATATTCTGCCTGAGACACAAGTCTGTAACCTCCAGTCTTCTCAAAGACTCCAATGTGTAGACAGTTCTTCAAATGCTGGCTGTATAAGCCCTTAACACCGGGCAGTTTGTGTACTAAGTCACATGCATGGGCACATATACATACACACCTGCCCCACACAAACACCTACTTGTTAATCTCTTATTATTGAGAACCCTGAGTAATGAATCTATCACATCTTCCAAAGCGCAGGAAGGAGAAGAAACATTAAGAGATCTGAGCCACCTTCTCTTAAATAAAACAACCAAGTCTGACTGATTGTATCTTCACAGACCAATTGTGTTTAATACAGCCTAATTAATAGTTTGCACACTTAGATATTGTAGATTAGCATGGCAGAGGAGGAAAAGATGCAGAAAAATATCATGGAACATTTAAAAAATTCTCTGCTTATGTATCCAAGACTGACCTCAAACATGCAGCACTCCTGCCTCTGCTTCCTGAACACTGGCGTTATGGGCATGTGTCATTGTGCTCAGTTTCTCCTGTAAATGAACAGTAACTCTGTGTTAGGTAGGCATGTGTGCAAAGACTACATCCAGAGTAATACCATCAACTGTTACCACTGATGGGCCAATGGACTTCATCCCTTCTTTAGATGTTAAGTCTACCCTTCAAATCTCAAGGAGTAGCTTTCTTTCATTTTGGACATTTAGGATTCTGTATCAGTACTGATTTGGCTGGAGTACCTTTCATCGTATGTTTAACCTGAACACCCAGATAATATTAATGTCTTCCTCGATGGAGTACGCTTAGGGGCAATCAAAAATGTTACCACTAAAACAGAGATTTGTGAACTTGTACAAATAGAATCAACCATCATCTTGATAGGACATTGCTCAGAGTTTGTTAAGACCCCACAGGGGAATGTATTATACGGCACTACAATAGTGAATTCCATCTCACAGGGCTGCTTTTGTGTTGAAATGGTGTGATATTGAGAGAAAATTACACAATGAGTAATTGCAGTGAGCCCATCCATATGAAAGCATTTGTCTGAAGACCATGAAACAAATATTTTTCAGCGTGGTGAAGTCTTGGGAGACAGAAAAAAGAAGAATATCATACCTGGAAAAATGTCTTACATCACACTGGAAATTTATGTGGATTGACAGTAAGACACTTACTTTTCATTCTTGAATTTACCCAGACCTCCTGAGGCTGATCAAAGCTTCTGGTTCACTATCCTGCTCACCTTCATTTATTGGCAGTTGCAGGAACTAGTGGCCTCTGTACTCATCGCCTATCTGCACCATTCCTAGTCACATCCTCCTGCTGACATCTCTTGACCTTACAGGTTCTACCTCCCAGAGGAGTCCAGATCCTGTATAACTCATTAAATACATAATTACCCAGGACCTTTCTAGGACCAATTTACCTCAGGCATCTCTACTGGAGACCAATTATAGTCAACAATCACTCCTTCCTACATTTATGGAAGGTAGAATTTAAATAACAACAACAACCACAAACAAAACAAATAGACAAATAAAAGCAACAAGCCAAAAAAGCATGGAAAGATGCATACTAATTGACTTTTCAGGTATGAACAAGGCTTTTGCTTGACTGGATCCCACTTTCTCAGGGGAAGAATTGCATATGGGTGACTGGAAAACCACCCCAAAGTATCAGGCATTATTCTGATTGTTAATAACTTAGTGTCTCATACAACAAAAAGTTATTCAAGAAGCCACCAGAAATTTTTATATTTTTTGGTTTTGAGCCTACCCTTGATTGGCTGATCCATCTTTCCAGCCCATCCAGTAGTTTTTAAGTATAGTGAGACCATAGAAAATCACACCCACTGGGAAGTCTTCCAAGGACATTATCTCAATTCAACATGACGTAGTACCTCCAAGAGACTTAGTGCAGATATAGAACCTTCTGGAAACATAAACTTCATTAGCCAGCTTTCTGGGTGTGCCAGTATGTGAAGTTCAGAATATGGCAAGTGGATGACATGTTTAATGCTTCGTTAAGCCAACAGAAAAGCAATTCATGCACCTATGCCTGTTCACTCGTTTTGTCTCCTTACCTTTATAAGGAAACCTTCACTGTACCTACTATTACAACCATTACCCCAATTCCTCTCCATATATGTGAGATCACTTCCTAAGGCCATGTTTTATGAGTTCACCATTGATCTATAATTTCTTTTTTGTCAGGATATTCCTGAACTTGGCAGCCATCAGTTGGATGAAATTCTGTACATGATAATGAAATACAACCTTTCTACACAAGGGAATTTTGATCCTTATTGATCTATCCTTTATTGGGCTCAGAGAGATGATTAACATTTGTTTTTGAATGTGGAAGTAATGTGTGGGATTTAAAGATAAATCCAGCATTTTAGACAGATTGCTACCATCTCTAGTTTCATAGGACATCACATTTTGCTTGCTAATCTAATGGTTTTAATTATTTTAAGAATAATGATGCAAACATTCTTTGTGTTTTTGACATTAGAAGCAAAAATGATTGTATGTTAGGCTCAAGTTCCATTTCAACCATCCCTAATGTTTTTCACTTCCAAAAGCATAGGTATTTTCAGTGTCATTCAAGTAGTTTACAGTGCATTTGAAGACCCATTATTCCCTAAAGAAGTTTGCAACCATTTATACATACTCTCCATTTCTCTACCTCCAGCTGTCCACAGGCAATTCCACTCTACTTTATGTTCTTTCAATTTTCCCATTATTGATATTTCAACTGTTCATAGTTGTCTTATTTTTTATCATTTTTAATTTGAATTAGAAACACGATTGATTTACGCGACAATTCCAGTTCCCTTCTCCCTCCCTTCCTCCCCTACCAGTCCCCCTAACTAAAACCCTACCTATCACATATTCTTTCTTCTAATCTTCACCTGACTAAACCTTTTTTGCTCCCTCATGACCTCTGCATCCTTCCTGTTCTTTCCTTCTCATTCTCGTAGCTCCCTCCCCCTTCTTCCCATGATCTCAATTTGCTCAGGGGATTGTGACCCTTTCCCCTTCTACAGGAGACAATGTTTGTCTCTTTTAGGGTCCTCCTTGCTTACTAGTTTCTCTGGCAGTGTGGATTGTATCCTGATAATCCTTTACTCTATGTTTAAAATCCACATATGAGTGAGTACATGCCATGTTTGTCTTTTTGTGATTGGGTTACCTCACTCAGAATGATTTCTTCTAGTTCCACCCATTTTCCTACAAATTTCAAGATTCCATTGTTTTTTCTGCTGAGTAGTACTCCATTGTGTAAATGTACCACATTTTCTCA